CCTATGGAAGTGCAAAAACCACAAATGAAGAATGTTTTTACCTGCATAAACACCTAAGAATTTACCTGCATAAACACCTAAGAATCTCTAGGTTCTCAACTGCAACTGTATAGTTAACCTCCGCTGTAAGTTATCTCTAAGAATCTCTAGGTTCTCCAGTAAATGTTGATGATAAATTCACACTTGAGGAGCTAGAGATTCCTAGATAAAACTCATAAAACAAATAAATAATCAAATCCACAAAAACAAAACCCACAACTGTGGAGGACTGACTGTATTCCTAAAGAATTGAGCCAGGGCAAGATAAACTTTCTGTTCCTTGCTAAAGTGCTAGGAGAAAGTGAATATCTTAAACCAATTTCAGTAGAACACCAGATTTATAATATGACCTAATTGTCAAGACACTACATGTAATTGTTAGGATACTCCATGTTAAGTATTTCAACATACTAGGAACAAAGATATTTTATTAATCAAAACCAAGCATCTTCATTAAAACAGGAAAAATAATCATGTTTATTATAAAAATAAATAACTAGTGACATTCTCTTTGCAGAATAAGAGAACTGGAGGGGCACTTTGTGTAAGAATATAAAGGTTTCTGTGAACATGTAGGTTGGTACTTGCACTTTGGTGGTATATTCAAACATTTGTTTAATCAAAAAGGTTTTGAGTGGAAATATTATTAAACAGAAATTGTTTTTGTATAAAAAGCAACATTTTACATAGCAAGCTGTGTATTCCATCTCTTATGTGAAAAAAATGATTCAGCACATTTCTGGCAGAAAAAATCTGAAGTGTAAAAAATTTTCTGACAGTGTTGCATTTTTTAAGTTGTTTGCTATTTTTTCAGGGAGCATAAAATATTCTTGAATCACTATTACTGTTACATACTATACATTTTAGGCTACAAGACGTATTGATTCCTTTCTTTTTAATCTCTAGAAGGGAAAGTTTGGGGGGACTGGAAAAAAAGAAACAAATGAAAGAAAATCACTTTTGCCTCTGAAAAAGAAGTCACTATATTCAAATCCCTTAATTGCTTTCTACATACAGGACTAAAGGGCACAATTAAAGTGTTGTAAATTTTGAAGCAAAAATTATCTCAAAAACTGTTTACACTTTTTATGACATTCTGCACCTTAAAAAGCATATGCCTCAGTACTTTTTGAGATGCACACACACTCACGGGTTTAGTATGCCTCATCCAAAATCATTGGTGTCAAAAGTTTTTTGAATTTTGTGGAGATTCTTTATCACTTCTATTTGCATATACATATACATTGAGATATCTGAGAGATGGGACCCTAATTTGTTTTTGATTCACATCAAAATCATGTGCATAGTCTGAAAGTAATTTCTGAACAATAGTTTCAATAATTTTGTGCTTGAAACAAAATTTGGCAAAAGTATGATAGCTGGGACCCTACTCTGGTTGCGCACCACAGGTCAGAATTTATGAAGGGAACACGTGCGCGAGACAGCGCAGTGAGTGAGAGATGCAGCTGCGAGGGAGGGAGGAGGAGGGGTTCTACGACTCACATGTCCTGCCCTCCCGGAGCCCTGGTTTCTCCACTGTCAGAAAGCGGGCGGGGAAAAGCACAAGAAGAGGGGAAGGGGGAGATCCAATTCCTGCCACTCTGTTTGCACTAGGGCCTTGTAAAAACCTTCACCAGCTGCCAGCACACTTTCTGCCCTTCAAAGAAAGCAGCCCCAGCAGCTGGGAGAAGTCCAAGCAGACTTCCCTTCATTAATTTTGACACGCATTGTGCAACCAGTGTACAGGTTCCAGCTATGCGTAGGGTCCCAGCTATCATACTTTTGCTCAAAATGTGGGTACATTAAACTGCCAGAAAGCAAAGTTGCCCCTATCTCAGTCATTGGCATGGACAATTCTGGAATTCCAACTAAGGGATGCTCAACCTATATTAATTTGTCCCCTGTTCACACTGCACTTGGCATTGCTGTTGTCTAACTGTGCAGAGCTTTCAAAGTTGCAAAATAATAGTAGCTTCAAAAATTTACAACTCGGAGGTTGACATCAAGATTGTGTACTTGGTGGCTAGGCGTTTTTATGTTAAGAGAATGCTTCAATACCTTGGACAGTTTCTTTAACATGTGAACTAAAACTGGAATAGATTTACTACTTCGATGGCATGGGAACCAAAACGTACCACTGCTATATACCCACTGATAGAGACATGCATGAAGATACATGCATGCAACCTTCTCAGCCATCATGTTTTAAACTGGGATAGGGAAAAGGAGAACAATTTTGTAATCTTCAGAACTATACAGAATTGTTAACACCTGTGGCTGAACTTAGGCTATACTACCGATTCAAACAGATACCCAACATTACCTGCTGCAGCATAACTGCCTGCTGTTGTTGAAGAAGTGCTTGAAGTTGCTGTGGAGACAATACTTGTTGCTGGAGAATTTGTTGCATTTGCTGAGGGGTGATCACCTGGGGAGTCATCATGGCCACTGACACAGGCACCTGAGGAAACAAGTTCGCAAATACATGTGTTGTTGTTAACTACCATCAAGTCAACTTCTATTTATGGTGACCCTATGAATGGGAAACATCCAAGTCACTCTTTCAACAGCTCTTCTCAGGTATTCAGATTCAGGGCATGGCTGTTCATTTATAATGTGGTCTTTCTCTCTCTTTTTTTTTTTACTGCCCTCCACTACTGAAAAAGTCACCATGCCTTTAGTTCCTCCTCCACATCCAAAATATCTGGTACAATTCATCTCAAGGTGTTAATAATCTGTTTTCCCGGTCCTTACCAGCTGCTGGAAATTCATTTTAGGGCAGTGATTTTCAACCTGTGGGTCACCACATGTTTTGGCCTTCAACTCCCAGGAATCTTAACAGCTAATAAACTGGCTAGGATTTCTGGGAGCTGTTGGCCAAAACACTTGGGAACCCACAGGTTGAAAACTACTGATTTAGGGAGAATAAGGAAATGTGGAAAGTGGTGATGTCCCAAAATGAAGCTATATGTATCAGTTATAGAAGGAGGAAAGAATGGTGACAGCTTGTCTCTCTATAATTTTTAGCAGCAGTGGTGGAAATAATGCAATGTGTCCACAGCACCATATGAGGATCACCAAGACATTTTATAGGGGCCTATACTGTCTTCTATAGTGTGGCATTTCCACTGTATTTTCCTCCTTAGGTGAAAAAAAAAATAGAATATCTTAAAGACATTATTGTACCCTGCATCTTCCAGGCTGTGTGATATTCTTCTCATCACTTCTGGTTGTGAAAATAAGGACCAGAAACAGGGTGGATGCAATTCCTGCACCTTCCCATTTGTCCACCCTATTTTAGAGCATCAATCAATTTGATCCACTGTTTACAGAAAACCACAAGAGATAGGTAGAAACCCTGATGCCTCTCAAATAATACCTTAGTTCAACAATACCAGACTCTTAGTATTTTACACTGTTTCTAAATATGGAAGAAATCTGCCTCTTTGAATATGGTACTTCACAATATTCTAATAGCCAGTATGTACTGAAATACGATCTGTCAGGAACTATAAATATTTTGACAAAATAGAAACTACAGGTGAAAAAACGATAAATTGTAAAACCACGAGAAACACATTTTTTGGAGAGGGGAGGTTATTTTAGGGAAAAGGTATTTTAAAAATCCCTAAAAATACATTATTATTATTTACAGATGAAATGTTGCTTTATTAGTTTAGGAACATAAAATGCATTATATACAATTGTCATATTTGATATCTTAAAATGACAGGTTATTAAAAAATACAAAATGAATTTACCATTTATTTATTTATTGTCACAAATGGAGCAGTAAGGTTTTGAACAGAAAGAACACATGTACTAAAAGGAATCTCTTTGGTTTTGCTGACTTATGAAATGCAAGTAATATATTCCAAATAAAAATCGAGAAAATCTTAACATTAGTAAAACAAAGAAAATGTTTTGTCTCCTTTAGTTCTCCATAGTGCAATGCAGATGTAATGCAAAACTGTGAAAACGAAACCAAGATGAGGAATTGTAATGATGTGATACTATACCAAGTCTTATATGAAAGTCTTCTTCTTCCATAGAAATGATTTTGGTTCAGCAAATATGTGATAACCTTGTCTTAAACATTAAATGATCATTCTAACAGAAATTATTCACCCCATTTTTTCTGGAGAAGGGATTTTATAAAAAAATAAAAGGATTAACTTTCAAATAAGGACGAATACTTCTGGAGCGTTAATGAGAGGAGGACAAGCATCTTCATATATAGGTTTAACAGTATTAAGTTCCCATTTTAATGATGTCCTGTTATTTTAAGACTCCAGAACCCTGGCACTTTAATTCTTGACACATCAGATTTTATCAAGTCCAAAAGTTTACATTTCACATGTCTTGCAATTTACTTCTAGATTTTAACATTTAGTAGTAGAAATGAGCATTTAAAAATAGATGATCACATGGTACACTCTCACCACTTTGCAATCAATCATCTTGTGAAGTGTCATAATGCTACAATAACAAAAGGATAAACCAGACTGTTTTCCACAATACAAAGACAATTTTTTTAAAATCAGGTTGTAAGTGATCTTTTAAGACAATGCAGATATTTAGACGAAAACATATATTTAGAGTCTACTGTTCTTAACAAATTATGAGAACAGGCAGTTTTCTGAAATTAAAAGTATTGCTCTTAAACCCAGGGATATCAGCTTGACAAATTCCTTACTAAAGTGTGGCTTCCATATATGCATGGAGGCCACACTTTTATACATGCTGGTATACAAACATTCTGCTTTTTGCACTTCTTACCAGAGGTAGCAAATTATGAGGCAAATTGCTTGATTTGTGGTTTATAAGGCATGCTACCTATCACTTTCAGTAAGTAATATATAGTAAGGATACAGAATAGGGAAGACATAATAGTTTATGTGTCACAGGGTGCATCTCCACTGTTGAATCAATGAGGTTTGGCACAATTTGAACTGCCATAGTCCAATGCTATGGAATTCTGGAAGTTATATTTCTGTGAGGCACCAGCACTCTTTACTAGAGAAGGCTAATAATATCATAAAATTGCAACTTCCATGATTCAATAGCCCTGAACCATGGCAGTTAAAATGATGTCAAACTGCATTAATTCTACATTGTAGATGCACACAATCTTCATTTGAGTTGTGACCTTGCATAAATGTGTGGGACATCCCAAGAAGCTGGATGTCACATGAACAACAATGCTATGTGTTTTACGACCTCACAGATGGGGTAAATTTGGCTGCATGCACCACTGCCTTCTCTTTAAGCATAGAGCCTGTTACACAACATACAACTAGTTCTGGAGGGGCTCCATGCTTAAAGGGAAGGCGAAATGGAGAATGCATGGTGGTGGCAACACAGGAAGCTTCCCATGTTACAGCAGGAACAATGGGGGGAAGTTGGGCAGTTGATGCTTCTCCCATGGGATAGTGAAACGGGCAATATGGGTTATGGGGTGATGGGTCCCCATGCCCATCAACATGCACCACTGAAATCACCATGATACATGGCAATTCTGGCAGCCTTTGTGATGAGGTTGTAGTTCTACCAAACATATGGAGGAAACATCTAATAGCAATGGCTTCCACGGCTTTTGGTTTAGATACAAAGAAATTATACCATGCTGTTTCAGAGTTCAGAGGCCTTTAAAAGGATCCAATTCTGATTTTTTTTCAATTTCAGTGTAAACCAGTTCTCAGTATTGGAGACACACACACACATTCCATTTTGACATGTGTGGCCCCTTCCTTCTACCTTTTTGTTGTCTGACTTCAAGTTGCTTCTGAGGTGAACCTATCATGGAGTGTTATTGCCAAGATCTTTTCAAAGAAGATTTGCCTTTATATTCCTCTAAAGCTGGGAAAATGTGCCTTGCCCAAGTTGACCCAGTGCATTTTATGGTCAAATGGAGGTTTCAATCCTGGTCTCCAGGGTCAAAGCACAATGTTGGCTTCTCAAAATCATGTCCCTGTACATTTTAAAAAATAATATGCGTATGCCTCAAGGGCTTTAATTAAAAGCTGTGCTTTATTTTGGCACCTATAAGATTCCCCCAAAGGCACATTTGCTTATGTGCTCCTACAGTGGGAAACAGAGCAGACTTCCACCAGTAGATCTCAGTTCTTCACCAGGTGTCCTTTCATGTACTGAAGTCCCAGACCATTCACGGCTTTAAAAAGTCATCACCAGAATACTGAATTCAAACTGACAACAAATTTCAAATTCATGATGTTCACACCCATCTCTGTCCACTTATTTCTGGATCTCTGTTGCTTGGTGGCAATCACTACCTGGTGTCTTCCCACTCTACCCACATAGAAGTCTGCTTTTCTGTTTCCACAGACTTCTCATTCTAGGCATATAGGGAATTGCAGGAACAAGAGGGTTTTTCACATGCAGGTCCCCATGAGGTGATCTGTTACTCTGCATGGCAGACTGCTAAATTCTTCCTGCTAACTCGAGCATATTACAAATCATCCCACAATTCTAGACCATTGGTGAATGAACATCTACATTCTGGAGAAGCAGTCTGCACCTCAGAATCCAGGAAAGAAGCAGAGTGACAGGCAAACAGAGAGAATTATTTATTATTTATTTATTTTATTTAGAACTTTTATAGCCCGATCTTCTCTACCTCCAGAGAGGGACACAGACCAGCTAACAGCAGAAGTTCAATGCACAATACAATTAAAAACATCATAAAGTCATAATAAGTTAAAATACAAACAAAATAAATACATATAAGCCAAATCGCCAAGATAGAATCAAATTCATCTCAATCCATCATTGTAGTCAGTAGTTATTAGGTTATTGCTGAATTCAAGCGATTATTCTGGGGAATGCTATGTCCCAGAGCCAGGATTTCACTAGCTTTCTGAACATCAGGAGGGAAGGGGCAGATCTAATCTCCATTGGGACGGAGTTCCACAGCTGAGGGGCCACCACCGAGAAGGCCCTGTCTCTCGTCCCCAACAGATGCGATTGCAAATGTGGTGGGACCAAGAGCAGGGCCCCTCCAGAGGATCTTAACAACCTTGATGGTTCATAGGAGAGAATCCGTTCGAACAGGTAAACTGGCCCGGAACCATTTAGGGTTTTGTAGGTTAACACCAGCACTTTGAATTGTGCTTGGAAGCTAATTGGCAGCCAGTGGAGCTGACCCAACAAAGGAGTTGTGTGCTCCCTGTACCCTGGTCCTGTCAGTAATCAGGCTACCGAATATTGGACTAGTTGCAGCTTCCGGGCAGTCTTCAGAGGCAACCTCAAGAAGAGAGATTTGCAGTAGTCTATACGGGATGTAACCAGAGTGTGGACCACCGTGGCCAAGTCAGATTTCCCAATTATTTCTTAGGAACAGCCAGAAAGATTGCCACATGTCCAATAAACAAGGACTATTATGCTTCTAGGATTAAAAATTAGGTTAGGATAAATGTTAGCTGTTCAGTGATGGCAATCACC